AGATGGGTTTGGTGCACACAGGGATAAAAAAGTACCCCATGTGTACAATGAAATATACTGCTGGATCTTTATGTTGTGAGCCTATTTTTTCTGCCGGAGATCCTATCTTGTTCAGATAGATGGCATAATGGATTCTATAAAATACCAATGGATAAAAAATTAAAAACTGACTGTCCATGAAATCTTATAATGGGCCATGGTTAGATCTTTCAACAGGACAATGATCCACAAACAAACATCCAAATCAAAACAAAAATGGGTCACTGAGCACAAAACCAAGCTTCTGCCCTGTCCAACCCAGTTCCCTGAGCTGAGCCCTATAGAAAATGAGTGTGGTGAACTGAAGAGGAGAAGCATCAACATGCAGCTGGAAATCTGAAGGGTCTGGAGAGATTCTGTATGAAGGAATGGTCTCTGATCTCCTGTCAGATGTTCTCTAAACTCTTCAGGCATTATAGGTGAAGACTCAGAGCTGTTCTCCCCCCCCCCCAAAAAAAAAAATTTAAACTATATTTTTCAGAAAGATCGATTGCATTGACATATATGCATTTTATGAAATGCATGGACAAAATCTATTTTCACCAATGTTTATTTACTCAAAACAATTTATGCAAACACAATTATAGCCATATACTGAGACAATACAAGATGACTCAGGTTCTCAACACAGAGAGAAGTAGATTCAAACCAATGACATCTAGCATCTCTGTTTAATTGGATCAGGGCCTTTTACAAATCTGATATGATTTACAGTTAAGAATGCACAGCCCATATGCTATTCAATAGCTGAGCGAAATAAATACAAAACAAAACACATAAATGCAGCAACACTAGCAGCAAAGGTCAGTTCAATTCGACATGACATCATCTGATCAGTAGTATCACATGTTTGATTGCCACTAAAATAAAATGTCCACAGTAACAATGAGTACTGTCCCTCATGCTCAATGGTGTCGTGAACACTAGATGAATATGACGGTAATACAACTTTCCATCCATTTGGTGAGTTTCTATTTTGCAGTCTATGAGGTGTCATAATAATGTTACAATCAAGCACAACAGAAAAATATGATTTTCAAACAATCACTCATCAATTGTCAATGTATAACATTTACATGCTCCCTGGGTATAAGCAAAACAACCTGTGCCATAAGTTACTGTTGTCTCACATATTTTAAAGCCGTGCTGACATATTTTAATGACGTTTTTTTATTATTATTATTATTTACCCTGTCACTGTCTCATCCAATTAATTAAAAGTATAAAAGTCCTCTCTACAGCTCAGCATTTATTTCCATCATGTCACTGCCAAACTTGACATCAATATCTTTGCAGATATAAAAGATTCATAAGTTTGATATTACTGGGATTCTTCCTCATAGTGTCTGCTCTTTTTAGTCATTTAAGGGGATAGTTCATCTAAAAATTAAATTCTGTCATTATTTATTCACCTTCATGTCATTCCAAACATGTATGATATTTTGGTTGTACAATGACATACAATGAATGGAAACCAAAGCTTGTAAGCTTCAGTAAGGACACAAAAGCACCATAAAAAAAATCATAAAAGTTGTACATATAACTTGTGTGCTCTATTCCAAGTCTTCTGAAGCCGTATGATACCTTTGTGTGATATACAGACTGAAATGAAAGTTATTCACTGAAAGTATTGACATCTTCTCTAGCTCTTGTTGCTGCTTTCATTAGAATTCATGAGCTTCATCAACTCAATGATCACCTGGTCACAGGTGTACTCAAAGCTCTTAAGAAGCTTTAAGACTTGGAATAGGGCTGGGCGATATGGGCAAAAATTCATATCTCTGTA